AGTGACCGTCCTGCAGAAGCCTTACCTAGACGATTCACCATTTTGGCTTGGTTTTTCATTTTTGTCATTGGGGTATTTTGTTTGTTTTTGTTTTGTTTTGTTTTATTTGTTGTTTGTTTTTCATTTTTATTTTGTCCCAACATTTTCCTTTATAGTCCACCTTTAGATATTGATCAGTTGAAGCTCATTTTAAGACTCGTTGGAACCCCAGGGGCTGAGCTTTTGAAGAAAATCTCCTCAGAGTCTGTGAGTTGATGCTTTGATTGTAATTATCTGCCCTGTTGGGAGTCTGCAACTTGCCTTCCATCTGTACCTTGACTTGGGTGTGTTTCTAAGCACGTGTGCCCTTTGTGTGTTGACTTCTGGATGAGGGTGTGTGTGTGTGTGTATGTGTGTATACACTTGCACACATACACACACACCCTCCTGGTCACATGCATGAGTGTGCTTTTTTTTCTATCTGGGTATGCATTAGATCACGGGGCCTGTATTGGGCAGTGGTATCCTAGTGGTAGTAAATGAGATTTGAAATTCTAATTCATTCCCAGACGGTAGTGGAAAATTTATGTCTCTGTTTCAGCCCTGACTTTCTCGTTCTCAGAGGTTTCACATGTAGTCAAGGGCTCTTTCCACTTTTGGGTTGGTGTTTGTTCTCAGATCATGTGGTACACCATGGATGAGTCTACCATCAGCACTAGAAGAAGAAAATGTACATTGCACGTTATTGCCCTTTTCCAGAAGCTCCTTACTTTCTATTGGTTTAGAATAGACCACCTGCACACCTGTGTAAAGCACCAGTTCCTCTCTACCCAGTCCCCAGACCAGCAGAGGTTGCACCCCACTACTGATGCCTCAGAGCCACAGGAGTAGGCTTGTAAATCCTTCCTCCCACAGCCTGACATTGTAATTACAAATTTTAATAACCTGATAAGAAGCTTTGGGCAGTGCTTTCCTGCCTCCACGCAGGCAGTGACAGAGAAACCACTCTGGCTTCCTTTGGCCATGATTTCCTGCTGTTGGGCAGGAGATTTGAGCGAAATAGTGAAAGCCCAGCCTGTCTCTCTCTTCCGTCTGTCTGCTGCCTGGCAGTGGATAGAAAGGGAAAGGCTGCAGTGGTGCCTTCCTGGGTTCTCCTCCTAGCATTTCTGACTGAAGCGGTCCCTTCACCCAGTTGGGAAGACTGCTGGGTAGCTTGCGCAGGTGAGTTCAAACGGTTCATCATCCCCCTGTCAAAATACAGACTGTTGTCATCTGGCATGTGTTTGGTACATTCCTTAAAAGGACCACAAAGCCCAGGGTGTTTGTGAATTTCCACTCTGACCACATGTAAGAGAATGTACCGGCCCTATTTTATTTTGTTTTATTTACTTATTTGGGACGATGAAGCAAAAGCACAGAAAGGCTGTGACTTGCCTGAGTCATGCACTAGGTCACTTGGCAGAGCCGAGCGTAGATCCCAGGTGCTCTGAGAACGTGAGCTGAACCTGTATCTCACGTGACTGCACATTGTGTGAAAGTCACTGTCAGAGTTGCCGACCACACTGTCAGCCTAGGGGAGTGTTTTCTTCTGCTTTATGAGATGCAGAAGCTGTATTGGAGCCAATCAGAAAAGATACAAGGAGATGTTTAGAGAGGACACCTGCTTTTTTGTTTTAAATGCGTTTGCTCAGAAAGATTGGCTGGTAGAGAGGACATGAGGGAGGGGAGTGGGGTTGAGAAGAAGTTGGGTTTATTAATGAGCAGAGCTAATGAGACTAAGATAGCAGATTCATGCCACCTGGAGTGGCTACCACAGCTCCTGCTCAGTCCCCTCCCACTCCTACCCATCTGCCCAGAGATATGTGCCATTCGTCACAAGATTTTCTAAAACAAAAGGTATGGGTAAAATAGTATTTACCTATTATTAAGCCACCATTTATTCAAGTGCCTGATCTAATATTCAAATGTCTTTATTTTCGGTGAAATAAAACACATAATATATTACAAAGCTCTGAAGTTGGGCATAATAAAATTGGGTGCCAGCATACAGAATTTTCTCAAATAATATTGTACTTAGTATAGGAATAAGGTGGTTTGGTTTTTTTCCCTTCATAATTATGGTGAGTGGATAAAAGTAGTTTAAACATTCAGAAGGGTAGGCAAGATTAATTTGATGTTTAGTGATATTGCCCAAGTGCCAATTTATTTTAAAAGCATGTGATGTGTGGAACACGTGATATGAAAATAACAAAGCCAGGTGAGTAAAATTAAAGGTTTTAAAAGTTAAAAATTCATTATTGAAGGAATATCGTAAACAGAAAGGCAGTAGCTATTTTCGTTACTCCTGAAAAGTAGGGAAATAGTGTAGAAATTGAGTCAGTAAAGAAGAGGACATTCTGAGTAAGAGAACGCAGTAACAGGGCTGCTTGAGAACAAGTCAGGATGTGCCCTGAGAGAAGGGATAGATTGGCCCTGATGGATGGCTAAGGAGATAGGCTTCTTTTGGTTGGTGACCCAGTACAGAGAGCAATTAGTGAAACAGCGAAAATCCTATTTAAAAAAAGCCAAGAGAGCCGTTTCACTGACTCATTCTCACACCTTTCCCTAGAAATTTATTTTTTCTAACTCCTGACAAGAAGCGGGTATACCGTATTTGCCGGCGTATAAGACGATTTTTTGGCCCTGAAAAATATGCCTCCAAGTGGGGGGTCGTCGTATACGCCAGGTACACTTCAGATAGACTGCCCATAGTGCTTGCCCCGTGCCATAGTGGCCTCCCGATGCCCACCCACTTCATTCCACATACCGTTCAGGCATCAGCAGCGCTGCTGGGTGTATGCTTGGCTGTTATGCGATTTTACCCCACTCGCAAAATCGCTCACAGCCGACCATACACCCAGTATGGTATCGCGATTCGCGATTTTGCGCTATCATGGCGCCTGTTAGAATGTTGAAGAGCTCGTACTTGCGCACTAGAGAGGTCCCAGGGAGATGCTGATGCAAGGGGGGACCAGACTGCTATAGTGACAGGGCGGGCAAACAGGGAGCAGGGACCAATCAAATCAGGCTTGGTATACAGCCAACAGCCAACCACAATACTGCCCCATTGTACTATTGACAGCCCCTCTAGGTTGTGGGCTGCTTGCGTGTGTTCCTGAGAAGCATCTACGGTACCAGTCTATAGAGTGTGTTTTCTTTAGTGAATTACCGGTATGTTTACCGGTAATACACTTGCACTGTTTTATGTATATGTTTGATTACATACAGCCTTGTGACAGTTTTCCTGCATGTCATAAGCATTTGAATATAAATTAAAATGTTAAAATCAAATCTGATATTGTTTTACCTTTTATTTGGTGTGGGGAAGGTGTGCGGAAGAGGGGGCAGTCTTATACGGCGAGTATATAACAAACTCTGTATTTTGAGTAGGAATGTTAGGGGGTCGTCTTATACGCCCATACGCCCCGTCGTCTTATACGCCGGCAAATACGGTAATAGCCTTTTTGGCTAAAGAAGGCAAACCAGAAAATGTACAGGACAAGTACATGGTGGGGCAAATGTAGGTGCACAGTTGTGAGTACATGAAACACAGTTTACTCTTGTTTATTAATCATTGTATTATTCTCCATACGGACAACTGTACACCTGTGTTTGTCCCTCCCTGAATTATTCATAGGAAAGGAGAGAGATGGCAGGATTTTACATTTTAAAACCCAACTGGCATTCTGTTGCTGGTTTACTTACTGACCCCCTTTTGTTATTTCTCTTGGTATGCAGTGTACTGTTTGTTATGTCATTTGTTTAGAGCTAAATCTAAACTTTGTGTGAGAATGTTAAGAGACCTTCACCCCACCTTAGAATATGCATACACAGGGTAGAACCAGCTCTTTTCTGATGGCCAGCCTTACAGGTGTTTGTGGTAGTCTGACCACTAGGGAAATTGAGTTCAGGGAATGAGCTAAAGCAGAAAAATTACTGAGAGAAGCCACAAAGAAGTGAAATCACTTGACCAGGGTGCTTATGAAGATGATGCTACAACCAAAGGAGAGCGTGAATAGTTAACAAGAAAGGGAGTATGACAAGGTTTTTATTGAATTGTGTTGAGGATTTTAAAAATCCTATCACTTCTGTTTAACAGGAACACATGGTAAACAAATAGTCCTAATATTTTCGAAGAGGGGAATTGTGTTAAAATTGATGGCACAGCTAAGAGGAGTACAGCCTATGTATGTGCTTGTTTATAGTTCTGCCTTTGTCGAGTAATTGCAGTGTTCTGCAGACATCGTCCCAGCTGTGTGTTAGCTGAGGTCAGTCTGGTCACCGGTTAAAACGACTGGGAGAAATCACTGTTGTGCAGGCTGGGACTTCTGTGACGGACAGCAGCCTGGAACTTCTCTTTTGTCTTTACCATTAGCTTCTAATTTCCCCATGTTCCCTTTCTTCACTTACCTGTGTGTTTGTGGCATGTATTTTAAATGTACCACTACTAATGTCTCTGAAACTTGGCATTGCTTATCAGCCCAACACCCGCCCATGTCTCATATTGGAGGGGTGGAGATCACCAGAGCCTGTGCCTCAAAATTTAACCTCTTCCTTAAGTGGGCACACTGGGTATATTCCTCTGAACTGAATTGAGTCAACATTTTTTCATCATCTCCATTGACCCACAAGTAAACAGGTTTTAGCCATCAGTACTTGGAGCAGTTCTCTGGCTGGCATCCTGGATCAAGGGGCATCTCTTTCCAGGAATCTTGAAATATATAATGTTAAAGATGATGCTAAAACCACAGAAATTTGTCCTTATCTGCACGGCCAGCCACTGGCTACATGCCTGATAAGTCTTGTGCCGTTCACGGAATCATGCTTCAATATGCAGCCTTGGGCTCTGGCCTAGGGTGGGTGGGACTGGTGGGGAGTAGGTTTTCTATTTATTTGGGGGTGGCTATTGGCCTTTTAAAACTTGAGTTGAAAGTTATTCTTTGCACCATATGTTTGACAATGCCCTTGACTAGGCATCTAAGATATTAACCAGCTTCAGCAGATTATGCGTCTGACGGGGACACCCCCTGCTTATCTCATTAACAGGATGCCAAGCCATGAGGTGAGAACAATAGCCTGCACAGGGAATGCCCCTATTTGATTGCCACTGTATAACCAGCACACTTGTACTGTCACTGAATGCTTGCATGTGCCTTGCAGCCACTGAGGTACCAGTGCCTGTGTGCTGCTGCAGGATGTTGATAGTTGGGATAAATTCTCATCCAATCCTGTGGACTGAGAATGCAAGTTATAGACTTACCTGTAGAAATGATGTTACTTTTCTACTTGGGTTTTGTGAATTTAGCGCTCAAGAGGTTATTTTGTCTTCCAGGTTCTGGGCTGTGGTGAGGGCATGCTGCCATCTGATGACTTTCAGCTGCAGCTATGGTTACCTAAGGCATTAGCCTACTTCCCTAGTCATCAGTTTTTTAATGACCAAAGAGGGTTCTTCATTTAAAAAACACTAAAATACCCAACCACTAATAAGTACTATGTTCAAAAGAATACACAAGTAATCCTATCTAATAATAGACAAACATGGTAATCGACCACACCTTCACTACGCCTCCCATTGGCTAATCAGAGCGATATGCAAATTAACCACCAACAAAGATGGTGGCTAATTTGCATACTGCAGGCAGTGGGGACAGTACCATCCCGCCTGCCCTGCCCTGCCGCCATCTGGGCCTACTATCTGCAACCCCGGGGTGGCGGGCCCGTGTGCAACCCGACCCGGGGCGGCTGGGTAGGGCAGCAAAGGCTTGAAGGCAGTTCCGGCCGGAGCGAAGGCCTGGGTCCCGGGTTCCGGAGGAAAACCGGTGCTGATAGCCAGGGGAAGGGAAAGCCTATTGCACGAATCTTTTCATGCAACAGGCCTCTAGTATAGAATAAATGTGAATACCTATGTAGGGTGAGGTGCCTTTTTTACAATTCTTAACTATTTAGTCTAACTCTAGTCCTGTCATCAGAGATGGTTGGGGCACTTTTTTCTAAGGTGCCTTCACTTTCTGGGAGCCGTTTTGGCATCACAGAGGCCCTCCCCTTCAGCTACCCGCAGCTCATCTTTGTCTGCATTTGTCTTGTTAGAGGGATGACTGTTCTCTACAGGAGACAGGCCTCTCTGCCCTCTGGTCCCTTCAGCCTCTTTCTGTGTGCTCAGGAGGAAGGGACTACAGCAGGGTTCCCCAAACTTTTTAAACAGGGGGCCAGTTCACTGTCCCTCAGACGGTTGGAGGGCCGGACTATAGTTTAAAAAAAAACTATGAACAAATTCCTATGCACACTGCGCATATCTTATTTTGAAGTGAAAAAACAAAACGGGAACAAGTACAATATTTGTATTTACATGTGGCCCGCGGGTTGTAGTTTGAGGACCCCTGGACTACAGCCATGCAGGTATTCAGTCCCTAGACCTTGCTTTTCAAATCAGAAAGACCCTCAGCTGCTTTTCAAAACGGGTCTTGCCTGCTCACTGCACATGTATTGAGAAGGTAAAGTTGCCCTAGCAGCCAGAACTTTTTCTAACCTTGTGTGTACGTGTGTGTGTGTGTGTGTGTGTGTGTGTGCGGCATGCACCCACATACATGAGTACCTTTATGTTGAGAAATGGTGAGGAGGTGGTTAAAATCGATTCAAAGAAGTTTTATCTCAACTACGCAGATAGTGGGATTTATTCATTGAAACAGGGAAGGTAATTGATGTAGTTTAACACCTAATATCTGATGCCCGCATTTATAAGTTACATTTGTATTTATGTGGTTATTCTCACGACCAGTTTTTGGATTTGCCTTGATTAGAGCTGTCAGTCCTTGAAAGAATTTGGCACCTTACATTCCCTAGAATGTAGCTCAGCAGTTGGGCAGTTGGCACATCCTTAGGACATGAGAGCAGACTTCCCTCCTAAAGGCAGCCATGGTGCAGCCAGTGTTGCTGAGCTCCTGCTCGGAACCCAGTGCTGTGCTGAGGAGGCGCTGGTTCACATCACCCCGTCTCGCTCCCACACTAGGAGGTAGGCACTGGGACTGATCCCTTTTTATAGCTGAAGAACTCAAGACTTAAAGACAATAAGTAACTTGCTCAACAGGTTAAAGTCAAGATTCAAATTCAAGCCTGTCCCAGCCCAGGGACCAAATATAGAACAACCTATTGGTAATATAAATGCTGTATGTGTCAGAAATATAGTTTGAAGCTCTTTCGTGAGCTTTCTCTTGCTTGAGTAGCATAATAACCATATGATGTAGACAAGCCACATACTAGCACCGAATATTAATATTTTGCAGATGAGACTTGAGACATGCCCAAGGAGATGTAGCTTATAAGTGGCAGGGGGAGGATTTCTTGCCTGGGCCCTGTAATTTATAATCTGCTATTCTTTATTGCTCTCATTGGTTTAGTATTTTTAACATGTGTTCGAGCCTCTTTGGATATACTAAACTTACGTTTACTTGTTACCAAGATTGCTTGGTAACAAGATTTAATATTTATGCTCTTGGTGTACTAAGAGCACCCACTGAGACCAGCACCATCAGAAGACTGCCAATCCTGGACTTCCATTAGGATGCCAGTTCCTACGCCAGTTTTAGCTTTTAGGGAGGCTGTCTCAGAAAGGGCTGCTTCTTAGATATCTTGGCCTCACTTTTTTAAAAAATATATATATTATTGATTTTTTACAGAGAGTAAGGGAGAGGGATAGAGAGTTAGAAACATTGATGAGAGAAAAGCATCAATCAACTGCCTCCTGCACACCCCCTACTGGGGATGTGCCGGCAACCAAGGTACATGCCCTTGACCGGAATCGAACCTGGTACCCTTGAGTCCGCAGGCCGACGCTCTATCCACTGAGCCAAACCGGCTAGGGCTGGCCTCATTTTTTTTTACTTCTGATCAGAAAGCTAATGAAAGGGAACTTGATTGGTTAGCATTCTCGTCCACTTGAAATAGAACTGAGATACAGCAAGGGATATAAGTAAGGTAGTGAACATAAATAAGGAAGTTTAGGACAGCACTAAGAGAGAGGTCTCATTTAATAACTACCCAAGACAGTCATGAACATTGGAGCTAGCAGACTTTGTCAGCTAACACTTCTTCCTGGTCAGGCCCAAGACTCTCTGAGGGCAGTAACATCATTGAACAAAAAGCCATTTTGAAAACCCTTTGTTTTTGCAGGCAAGAAACTACATTCAGTCTTTGACCCAGATGCCGAAGATGAACTTTGCAAATGTGTTTATTGGTGCCAACCCCTTGGGTAAGTTGACTGTATCCTCATGTCATGGATATGAAATTGGTTATGACAAAGTTAGGGATTTGAAGTCTGTGACTTGCTCACAGCTACTGTCGTTTCTTACCCAGGCTGAGGGCAAGAGCAACTGGCACAGACAGTGTTGTGGGCCCCGGCGCTCCCCGCTGTGTGCCCTGCTCGCCTCTACCCTCAGGTGCTGCAGGTCTGTCATCCTCTCGCACTTTCCCTTCCCCTCTTCTTCTGCTCCTCAGAAACAGCCATTCTCACTGGAGCTAATATGCCGCCTCGGGCTTTAAGGAATGGCCCCATATTCCTGCCACCACCACTTCCAGGACCATTAGCAAAGGGACATGACTAGCAGCTGCAGGATGTATACTGCCCTGGCTAAAGAAGGAGCTGCCTTAGTCCCCAAAGCTGGGGCCGATGTGTGCTTCAGTGGCCCCGGAAGGTGGCCTCATCTGAGGCTCTAGCACCCTGACTCAGTGCAGTAGACAGTGGTGAACGCAGAGAGCTCAGACCAGAGGGGAGCAAGGAGAGCCTATGATGGTGGTGTGACCAACCTTCTCACTTTTCTCAAGAGTGTATGGTGGGTCAGCCTGCTCAACAGTCCCAGCAGCTGTGCCTCAGGGTCGCGAGGACTCTTTAGAGGTTGGAGTGAGACTGAGAGGTTTTACCTTTTAAATATCCCATCATCACAGTTGACTGCAGTCTTAATGTCACGTGGTCATTCTCAAGGTCGCACAGGTACTCTCACTCTGAAGTGTTGGGCGATCGCTGGTGAGTTCATGTCCATCCTGGAGGTGAAGGGTTCCTCAGGTCTCAGCTGGTCACGCTCGCTTCCAGGAACAAATCCACAGACTCTCGGGGGGTGTGCAAAATTCTTGGGCTGGTTTAGGTTGGCATCTGCCCTGCTGTGCTCTCATTGGCTGTGTCTGACATATTTGAGCTGTATTGTCTAGTTCAGGGATCTGTGAGACGCTCTCTGAGTTGTAAGTACTCCAAGAATTTGGGAGATGATGTTGTATGCTGGTAGCTTTCTTGTCTCTCATTCTGTTCTGGGTGTTTTTCATCACATCGGCTCATGTTTCAGACGTGGCAGTGCTTACTTTGACTTCCTGTTTGCTGACTCCAATGTATTTATTCATTTTTCTGGGGGAAAGGAGGGTAGGTGTGTGACCAGCAGTTTATTTAGGTCACCTGCATCTGATAGGCGTCCCCTTCTCTGGAATTAAAACATGTAAACATTCAAAAGGACTAGACACCACGTAGCACTGCAGACTGCAAGCAAGGTGCGTGGAGGCATTAGGCCATCTGTGCTCGCACTGCCGTTCCGGGAACCTCAATCCGATGCCCTGCCAGGCGCTGATGCCATACAGTCTCTTCTTGCAGACGTCTGAGAACATGGTGTTACTGACCAGGAATCTGTGCCCAGCTGTTGGCTGAGCAGGCATGTAAATATTGACACCTGTTATGTCAGTCACTGACTTCCTGTTTCACGTTACCCTCCAAACACAAAACTGAAACTGCCCTTAGATGTAGTGTGTGTGTTTGTATCTGCCCAGATCTGAGGACCCTCTTTCTTACCCCGATTGTGTTCCTTGTCAGGGGCTTGTTTGCAGGACATGGTACCCTTTACCCTCGGGGTGGCAAAGACCATATGCTTCAAACAACAGCTGATGCCGTTTATTTTTTCTAAGAAGAGAAGGACATATATCCAGGCATTTCCCGCAAGGCTTTAAGTGTAAACTGAGCCTGAATCAACACTTAAGTATTCACCTGTTTTCTATCTCTTTTTTTTTTTTTTAATATATTTTATTGATTTTTTACAGAGAGGAAGGGAGAGAGACAGAGAGTTAGAAAACATCGATGAGAGAGAAACATCGATCAGCTGCCTCCTGCACATCCCCTACTGGGGATGTGCCCGCAACGCAGGTACATGCCCTTGGCCGGAATCGAACCTGGGACCTTTCATTCCGCAGGCCGATGCTCTATCCACTGAGCCAAACCGGTTTTGGCCACCTGTTCTCTATCTCTTGAAACCAAATTCTTTGGTTTCTCTGGAAGGCTACAGAATGGGGTCTTTTACCCCCTGGGTGTACCCAGCAGTAACCTCTTCAGGAACCTGTTCTCTCCCCACCCCTTCGCAGGGAGGGACTGTCAGTAATTTGCAAAGCCTCAGAAACCTGGTTTCACAGGTGGTGCCTGTGATCATGCAGTGTTTGTCCTGCATCCTCTGAAACTCAGCACACCCTCATTTGACAGAGTTAGAAAATCACCCTTTTGTGACCCTACTGAAATAACTGCTGTGAAGAAAAATCAGGGGATGCTGGAAGCCTTAAGTGAAAGGGCCTGAGGCTGTTCATGTGGTTTCAAAGTACCCGCAGATCACTTGTTTAGGGCAAAAAAGAAACAACCCAATTGACCAAATTTAGCATCATTCATAACGGGATAAATGGCCTTACTGCTCCTTCAAGTCCACATTCTTACCAAAAATGCTTAACCCACTTCTTACCTAATTGTTAGATCTAACATGGTTTTCAAGGGAATTACAGGGGGTAGGAGAAAACAAGGGTGTCGATTCATGGTGAACATTCGCAGGACAACCGGGCTGTCTGAATAGGAAAAGGGAAAATTAGTTTCTCTAACTAGATCTAAGATAATAGGTAAGATATTTTGAGAAACTAAAGAAACCCAATCAAATGCAGTGTGTGGCCCTTAATTGGTCCTGGCTTGAACAAGGTGGGTGTAAAAGACAGTGGGATAATCGGAGAAATTCTACCTTGAATTGGATGTTAGATATTTGGGAATTACATATTTGTCAGATGTCATAGTTTTATGATTATAGAGGAAGATGTCTTTTTTAAAAATATATATTTTATTGGTTTCTTACAGAGAGGAAGGGAGAGGGATAGAAAGTCAGAAACATCGATCAGCTGCCTTCTGCACACCCCTCACTGGGGATGTGCCCGCAACCAAGGTACGTGCCCTTGACCGGAATCAAACCTGGAACCTTTCAGTCCGCAGGCTGACGCTCTATCCACTGAGCCAAACCGGTTAGGGCAGGAAGATGTCTTTATGTGGAAATATTTAGCTGTAAAGTATCATGTGTATAATTTTATTTTAAAATGGGAGAACAATGCCCTGACCGGTTTGGCTCAGTGGTAAAGCGTCGGCCTGCGGACTAAAGGGTCCTAGGTTCGATTCTGGTCAAGGGCATGTACCTTAGTTGCAGGCACATCCCCAGTAAGGGGTGTGCAGGAGGCAGCTGATTGATGTTTCTCTCTCATCGATGTTTCTAACTCTCTATTCCTCTCCCTTCCTCTCTGTAAAAAAATCAATAAAATATATATTTAAAAAAATAAAAATAAATTGTGGCAGCAAAAAATAGAAAGAAATACAAAATGTTAATTGTTGGATGTGGGTGGTCAACATGAGTATTCATTGTATTGTATATTGAAAATTTTCACATGAAAATTTTAAAAATAAAATATCACTTTATCCAAATGCCCTGCCTCTCATCCACACACCCATGCAAAGAAAGCCCTCATTCTGTCCATTGTTTGAAGACCCGTTTGATGAATAGTCATTTGCCTTACGTTAGTAAATAAACAGTGAGGGGGACAAAAAAGTTGAAAAATTAAAAACCAGCCCTACTGCCGAACTGGTTTGGCTCAGTGGATAGAGCGTCGGCCTGCGGACTGAAGGGTCCCGGGTTCGATTCCGGTCAAGGGCGTGTGCCTTGGTTGCGGGCACATCCCCACTGGGGGGGCGTGCAGGAGGCAGCTGATCGATGTTTCTCTCTCATCGATGTTTCTAACTCTCTATCCCTCTCCCTTCTTCTCTGTGGAAAATCAATAAAATATATTTTTTAAAAAACAAACAAAAAAAAAACCAGCCCTACTTACTTCCTCTAGGTCACTTTAGTTTTAGGCTTTCGCTTTGACACAGTTGGACTACAGTGGTAACAGTTTGGCCGGACATTCCACAGAATGTCTGCTTGTTCACATGGAATCTGTTGTTGTTTTTTTAATTCTTCAGTAACATTTTCTTTAAAAATAATACAAAATACACACAAGAGAGAAAAGTGAAAGAATGTCCTGGAGCCGACGCTCTGGAGGAGAATTCTTCGTGTAGGCTTGAAGGGTGGAAGCTGTGTGTTTGCTTAGTAAGGCAGAATTTTTGCTAACGTGTTAAAACTTAAAACCTTTCTTTTTTTATGGACTAACAGCTGTCGACTTGCTGGAGAAGATGCTTGTACTGGACTCGGACAAGAGGATCACAGCAGCCCAAGCGCTCGCGCACGACTACTTTGCTCAGTACCACGATCCTGACGACGAGCCCGTGGCCGACCCTTACGACCAGTCCTTCGAGAGCCGGGACCTGCTTATCGATGAATGGAAAAGTAAGGCACGAAGGCAGCATGATACCTGCCTGAGAGCTTGGTCTGACAGTCCTTCCTCGGTGAGCCGCTCGCCGTAAGCTGTGCACAGGAGAATAAAATGCCTGGCTGGCAGCAGCTCGCCAAAACTGTGGTCAGGGCCTCGCCCAGAGTGAGCGCCTCTGTCGAAAGCGTGAAGGGTGACACTCTCCAAGCTGGGAGACCCTCACCTCTACTCTGATTTTGCGCGCAGCCCCTCACACCTGCCTTGTCTCTGAGGTTCTCAGAATCTTTTCCTTTACAGCATCTCTCTGAGATGAGTAAAGGAAGGGGATTTTTACAGTTTTATACCTGATACAATTGGGACAAAATATCTTACTATTACCTTAGACCTAGTTAGGGACACAGCCGGAAATGGGACCCTGGCCTGACCTCATATTCTTTCCATAAAACACAAATCCGGAGCTCCGGGCAACTGCCCAAAGCCAGGCTTTCCTGCTGCTGGAGCGTGTTGGCGGGCTGCTCCGTTATTCTTGAGCCCTAGGAGGAGGCACTGAGCAAGAAAGAAACAAGGAAGATGGGTTTAGATATGTGTCCTTGAACTTCTGGGCAGTCACATGATCCAGTGGGATCTCACAAGGTAGCGAATGGTTACTGGGAGTGTCCCTCCCAGCACCAGCTGGGAGAGGCAGGGCAGGTCTGCGCCAGAAAGAAGCACAGTGCTTGCCAGCACAGAGCAGCCTGACCTCACCTGGGCTTTCCTCCCAACCCCTAGGCCTGACCTACGATGAAGTTGTCAGCTTTGTGCCTCCGCCCCTTGACCAAGAAGAGATGGAATCCTGAGCACCTGGTTTCTGTTCTGCTGATCCCACTTCACTGTGAGGGGAAGGCCTTTTCACGGGAACTCTCCAAATCTCATCCAAGTGCCTCCTGTTGCGAAGATCTCCTCCATGGTGGAAGAGGGGTGTGTGCGTGCACGCATGTGTGTGAGTGTGTGTGTCTGTCTTTGTGGGAGGGTGAGAGACTGAGCAGCAAACTGCGACCACAGTGACTCCGTGGCGTTCCAGACACCCCGTGGCCGCCTCTGCTCCCGCTTCTTCGTGAGTCGGCTCTTAGGGTTGTTCAGTGCAAAGTAACAAATATTCAGCGTCCTACATCCAGTCATGCTTTTACTCTTTTGGCCTCTCCTGTGGGCCCACTTTGACCACAGTGGCACAGAGAAGGCTCGCCCCTCTGGCTGCTGCAGCTCTGGAGCTGTCCTTGGGATGCGTACAGCCACAAGGACCAACTGGCTCTGTGCGCCTGTCTGAGAGCTCGCTCGGTCCCATTCTCAGAACTCAGCAGGTGTATCTGGGACTCTACATATGTTTGTGCCTTAAAAGGGAGAAGAGAGTGCGGAGATGAAGTTCTGAGCCAGGCGAGTAGTCAGCTGGGTGGACGACCTTGTGAAACAACCTTCAGAGGCTCCGTGTGCATGTGTGGGCATGCGTGTATGTGCTGCTCTCTCAATCCCGGGTGTTGTGCCATTTCTCTGCTTGCCCCCCTTCAGTGCAGAGGTTTCTGGAGAATTGGACCTAGTCGCCAGAGGCCGGCTCTTGCTGTCTGTGGACGTCCTGTGTGCTCTTTCTTCCTAGCAGAGTGATGATGTCTTGCACGCCTTGCTGTTTGAGCATGCACAGCTGCTTGCCCTGTTTTTTCAGGAGGCCCTGGTGCCAGGCAAGTGCGCCAGTGAGGACTTCTTGGGAGTTCAGAACTCGTGTCACCTTGGCTGATGCTATGGGCAGGTGACATCTTCTCTTCAGCCCCCCGTGCTATTTTGTGTTGAACACAATTGATACTCCAGGTGCTTTTGATGTGAAAATTATGAAGAAATGGAACAGATGGATATATAGCATTTTCTTTCCTGCCATCTGGTTTTCAAGAAACTATTTTTGAGGAGCCATCATGGGAAAGATGGGGCTTTTCCCAGGAAACCTCAGCCTTTGGAAACAAGTCATTCTCTCCCCTCCCAATACCAATGCTAAGAAACGCCGAAATCAAAGTGAAAAATAAACGCTCATGAGGCCAGAACTCCTTTCTCTATTTTTGTCTAAATATGGTTATTTTTCTAAAAAAGTAATGAGGTGTCTTTTCCACCTTTAGGATCTTCTTGGCAGCGTAACGTTGGCTTCTTGGTCTCGGTTTAGGGAGAAATGAATTTTGTATTTTGCAGGAATCCTTTGAGAATGTGATTCCTTTGATGGGGAGAAAGGGCAAATTATTGTAATATTTTGTATTTTCAACTTTATAAAGATGAAATATCCTCAGGGGTGGAGAAGAGTCGTTTTCATAATTTTCTGAATTTCAGGCATCTTGTGCTACGTAAGGGCCCAGGTATTTAAACCTTTTGTGAAATGAGAAAGTGTAAGGCCACTTGCAGGGTCGGCCACGTGACAAAATCTCTCACTGGCGCAAGGTGTTTCCATTTCTGTCACAGTGCAGTGACTGCACTCCAGGAGGACAGCGTAGGGCCGAGTCAGCCGGAGCGAGGGCACGAGGCAGCTCATGGTGGTCATGCCACACCCGGGATTGTCCCCTCTTTAAGGAAAATGAATGCAAAGGCCTCATCTCCTGCGTGCAGTTCAGATCCTCACAGCCCACCGCAGGGTGAATTTTGTCAGCGTGTGGGGTTGTACGTGCTAGTGTGATTTCCTCCGACGTGCTGCTCTGCATACCTTCCCGTCCAGGTCTCTGCAGGTGTTAGGAGCTTAGCAGCCTGGGGAAGGGCTCCTGTGTCTGAGAATCATGCTCCCATCTCCTGACTTCTCTGAGCAGAACTCAGAAGAGAGAATGAGGGAAACTGCTATTTTATTTGTACTTGTGAACTTGGCTGTAATCAGTTATCCCATATAGGATGTCACACAATACCACTGGTCAAAATAAAGCCTATTTTTCAAATTTAGTGAGTATCTCAATTTTATTTCATTTTCCTCTTGATCATTTTTATTTAATGCTCAACATGGCTTTATATCAATGTTCTTTCAGCTATGGCCTGGCGTATGCTTCTGACAGATCTTAATATTACTCCTAAACTTCAAAAAAACGTGGATAGAGCTCCTTGGTTGTACATTTATGGTGAAGCAGATCTGAGTCTTTGAATCGAATGGGTAAAGCAAAGGGCAGGTAAACAAGGTATAAGGAGGCAGGCACAAGGCGTATTGCCCTTGGGCGTCAGAGTAGCCTGGGACAGCGTCAGAGACCACAGTCCAGGGGCCAAATCCACTAAAAATGGTTTTTACATTTTTAAATGGTTGAAGTAAGAACAGTGTTTTTGTAGCGTGTGAAAAATAATGTAAATTCAAATTTCAGTGCCAATAACATTTTATTAGAATACAGTCACACATTAGGTTAGGTGTTGTCGGTGGCTGCCTTCAGCTGAATAGTTGTGGCAGAGAACATGTGCCTACAAAGTCTAAACTTCCTACACTTTTACAGAAAAAGTTGACCAACCCCTGACCCAGGATTTCCATTTCCTCATTTGTAAAATGAAGTTTTTTAAAGTAGGTGCTTGGTTTTGTTCAGGTTTGACGTTCTAAGACTACCCATAGAAAGTATATTTTTATTTTTAAATTTCTAGAGAGGAAGTTGGATGTGTACCTGTGTGTACATTGATTATAGACTTTTAAGCAAATGTATTTTATGACTCTTGTGTATGGCCCTTGCTAGTATTCTTCAGGACGTCCGAGGATTTAAAGGGCCCGAGTTCTCTCAGCTGTTCTTAGGATCTGTGTTGGTTGCTCCCTTCTCGGTGGCTGGACATGCTGGCAGGTGCCCAGGGTGGGTTGTGTCCTGGGTCACCTGGCTCCTGGCTGGTAGTCAGGGATGGTGGCAGTTATAGAAGGCAAACCCAGCACAGGCTCGTCTTCATCCTGTTCTGTTCTCTGTGACTTCTTAAAGGGCTCAGAGAAAAGGCGCCCGGTTGTCACATGTGCTACGTCAGCCCCCATAAGGACCAGGCAGTTGTAGGAAATGTTTTGCCTTCACGCACTAGACATGAGGCCAGAAAAAAACTCACTTAAATGATTCCACATAGAAACGAGGACCAAAATTTCATAGTATGTGGGGGCAGGGAGAGGAAGTCTGCTTGGGACTTTTACCATGAAACCAAAGTTATAAAAGCAAAGTCATAATTTCAAATATCCTATATAATAAAATGTAATATGCAAATTGATCAGTCGCTATGATGTGCACTGACCACCAGGGGCCAGATGCTCAATGCAGGAGCTGCCCCCTGGTGGTCAGTGAGCTCCCACAGCGGGAGTGCTGCTCAGCCAGAAGCCAAGCTCACAGCTGGCGAGCGCAGTGGGGGTGGCGGGAGCTTCTCCCACCACCTCCACTGCAGGCGAGTGGTAAGGAGTGAGGGGTCCCAGACTGCGAGAGCCCCAGACTGCAAGAGGGATGTCTGACTGCTGGCTTAGGCCCAATTTCCAGGGGGATCGGGCCTAAGCCAGCAGGTGGACAGCCCCCGAGGGAGTCCTGGACTGGGGACCCCCCCGCCCAGTGCACAAATCTCATGCACCAGGCCACTAGTATTCTTATAATGAACAAAGAATGAATCAAGTGTTGGGGTTTAAAGTGAAATTGTGTTTAGTATCCTACAATATCCTTCCTGTTTTACTTTTGCAGCATAATCTAAGGCAATTTTTGCAAAAATATTTGAGGTCTTGCTCAGTTTTCCTAAGGACCGCAATCTTGATAATCACATTGTTCTTTTTTATTGGCATCTATCGGTGATCACTTTATCACCTTTCTCTTCAGTAACTGGGCTGAGTCCGCCAAGTCAGTGGCTTTGCTTGGTATTTGAGCAGTGTTCTAGCATTGTTTACAAAAAGTTCACCAAATCCACCATCTTTTACTAAATTTGCAACTATTGCAATTAATCTCCATTATATGTGTCATTTGCCATATGCTTACAATGTAACCAGTTAGAGACTAATGGAGGACAAACTGGAAAGGGTAGGATAGGCACTCTGGGTTCCCAGGGTTGTGGACAAGGAGGGACTGGCTTGATGACAGTTCAGCAGTGAGTGTTTTCTTGGGGTGACTTTCACAGGGACTCGGCTAATGAGTCTGTGAGGAATAACAAAGACCCTTTTTATTGCTAATACAGATGTTTGAATATACATTCCCTTTGAACTTCGCATTTACACTTCTCAGAGCTTAGAGGCCTCCTAAGTCTACAAGGAAAAAAGGAAAAGGTTATTCAGTGTTATGTTCTTTGTAATAGCAAAACATTGGCAGTGAACCACACATCTGTCAGTGAGGACTTAATTGATCTGTATAGTGGAAAACCATAGAGCTGGGCGTGATATGTGTGCAAGATGGGTGAGGAGAGAGAGAGAGAGTAAGTGGCAAAGCATACATACCACCCCCCATTCTGTATTGATGGTGATACCTATGGCTAGGGAAGCCCTAGAGGAACACACACCAAACTCCGCAATCACCTCTGGGTACTGGGATGACGTGGCTCTAAATGTTTTTTATTTTGTTTGGGTTTTTTTTATATTTTTATTGATTTCAGAGAGGAAGGGGGAGGGAGAGATAGAAACATCAATGATGAGAGAGAATCACTGTATGCCCCCACACTGGGGATTGAGCCCACAACCCAGGCATGTGCCCTTGACTGGAATCAAACCTGGGACCCTTTAGTCTGCAGGCCAACACTCTATCCACTGAGCCAAACCAGCTGGGGCTTATTTTGTAATGTTTTTTTTTTAAATATATTTTATTGATTTCGATGAGAGAGAAACATCAATCAGCTGCCTCCTGCACATCCCCCACTGGGGATGTGCCCGCAACCCAAGCACATGCCCTTGACCGGAATCAAACCCGGGACCCTTCAGTCCGCAGGTCGACGCTCCATCCACCGAGCCAAACCGTTTTCGGCTATTTTGTAATGTTTTAATTGATTTCAGGGAGAGGAAGACAGAGAGAGAAACATCAATGATGGGAGAGAATCATTGATCGGCTGCCTCCTGCACACCTTCTACTGGGGATCGAGCCCAAACCCTCAGCATGTGCCCTGACCAGGAATCAAACCCGTGACCTGGTTCATGGGTTGACGCTCAACCATTGAGCCACACCGGCCAGGTGTGACTATCTGTACAATTTCTCTTACATTTGCTTTTTTTCAAACAGTAATTTTTAAAATTTTATTTTTCAATTACAGTTGACATTCAGTATTATTTTGTATTAGTTTCTGGTGTACAACATAGTGGTTAGACAATCATATACTTTACAAAGTGTCCGTTGGTTTTTCCAGTGCCCACCTGGTACCATACATCAAGCATGTCAAACTCGCAGGCCATATGCGGCCCACATGAATATTTTTGCGGCCCAGCCAGTATAATGGTATGAAATGTTTTAATAAAAATTTCATAGCTTAATTTTTATAATATCCTGTTATACATACTTATTAATAACAAACTACAGTGGGGCCTTGACTTACGAGTTAATTTGTTCTGTGATGGAGCTCGTAACTCAAATTACTCGTATGTCAAATCAAATAGTGAACGAGTGAGACACGTGATGCTGGGCTGATGTGGCGTTCACTGTGACGTTCGCTGCGCCAACTAGCGGTGGGGTATCTGAAGCTGGCTTGTAACCCGAATTTTAGCTCGCAACTCAAAGCAAAAAATCGGCTGAGAGACGGCTTGTATCTCAAAAAACTCGTTAGTGGGGACACTCGTAAGTCAAGGCCCCACTATACAACGGTCGCTAATGACTGATTACTGTAATCGTGTTGCATTCATTTCCCTTATGCCCAGGCGCACCATTTCTCTCCATTAATACTAGCAGCGAATATTTTATGTTAATGATGACTCATTTATTTTAGCCCTCTGTATTCAGCATGTCTTTATCAAAATAAACCTACATTTCTATGAAAATTGAAGCTTTTGTTTTTTTGTGGCCCACAGAAACTTAAACCTTGTTTATTTGGCCCGTGTTAGCCTTTGAGTTTGACATGCTTGCCATACATAGTTATTACAATAATTTTTTAAAAAAATCAAAATGTATTTTGATGAGAAAGACTTTTACAGCCTGTGTGACCGGGAACCATTCCCCAATTTCCATTTTGCCAGGGCCAGAGCCCCCTCTTCAGGACAGGACTCCCCCCAGCTGGTGGGCCTCGGGCTTTGCAGGGTTCTCTCCCGGGGCAGGGCTTGGTGGTCTCTTCCCCAGGAGAAGAGAATGTTTCACGGATCTGAAGCGGGATTTTTCAGCCCTGGCCCTATTGACATCTTGGGCAGATAGTTCTTTGTGGCGGGGGCCACCCTGTGCATTGTAGGATGTTAAGCATCTTCTCTATCTTCCACTCACAAGATGACAGTAGCACACATACCCCCTCCCAGTTTGGACACCCACTGTCTAGACCAGTGGTTCTCAACCTTCCTAATGCCGTGACCCTTTAATACAGTTCCTCATGTTGTGGTGACCCCCAATTTCATTGTTAGAAATAGAACATAATGAAAGCCTAGTGATTAATCACAAAAACAATATGTAATTATATGTGTTTTCCGATGGTCTTAGGCGATCCCTGTGAAAGGGTCGTTCGACCCCCGAAGGGGTCACGACCCACAGGTTGAGAACCGCTGCTCTAGACATTGCCACACGTCCCCTGGGAACAAAGTCATTCCTGGCTGAGAACCCCCGGTCTGAAGCTGGAGGCAGCTCCAGTCTTGCAGAATACCAAAGCCTCTTTTCTTGAAAGAATTGAAGGCTCACACCTACTAACCTGTCATCAGTTCATGAAATGGTTTGGTCTCTTGAAGGGAAGCACAAACAGGCAAGGCCCTTTTAAAGACCTGAATATATCCTTTCTGGGGAAAAAGGAAGATCTTAGTTACTCGGCAGTTCGGAAGAAAGTATATTCAGTGCTGGCTTAAGGCTATCTCATGTCTA